GCTATTTTTTTTTTTTTTCAATTGCAGCCATCGTTGTTTGGCGGACGGGCTAGATTCGAACCCGCCAGCTCAGCTGTACATGGCTGGCACCTTAGCCCCTTGAGCCACAGGCACAACTTCTTAAGGCGTGTGGCCCTTTCGCCCACGGACCTCCGCCTCGCCCTCGCCCTCGGGTCTAGCCGAGCTGGCTTTGCCGCTTCATCATTTTTGGCTGGTCCCTGGACGCTCCTGGTGAGATTGTCACTAATTCATGTAAATACGCCTTCTTCCAGGAGAGGGAGCTCAATTTCTTTCCCACTCCTCACCTTGATTACGGACTACAGACTTCATTCGGAAGAGTACAGTATGGAGGGGGAGTGGGAAGTAGTGGTGTTCACAGTGGTGTTTGCTACCTTCGCTGAGTTGTCAAGGGTAACATCAGGAATAAACACGATTATAACATGTTCCTGTGGCATTCTTCCCCAAAACCCAGAACCCCAGTTCTTCCACAAAAAAACAAAAAATCAGAAAAACAAAAAATGCTCCTAAAACATTTTATGTCTGGAAAAACAAGTGCAGTGATCCCGTGGTATACACAGGGCATTAGTTCCTGGCCACCACCACCTCCCCATGCTAAAATCTATGGGTGCTCAATCCCTTACATAAAATGGTGTCTACCTAAGTAGCAGAGAGGTTCTCAAAAAACATTTATTTGGAAGTAGCATTACAATGGGGATACGAATACCATAGTAAACTCTCAGGGAGTTTGAGGCAAGGGGAAGTTTTTAAAGGCAAAATAATGAGATTACAGAAAATGCTTGGATCAGTTATATCCTTGGCTACAATGAGATGGGTGCCAGCTGCCAGCTGCCTCCTCACCCCCATAAGATAGATGCTGATGGCCTCACACCACCGCCCACCCCCACCTCTGGATAGGAAGAAGGGGAAAAAGAGGTAAATGAAATGATGCCAAGTACCATCACTCTTAGGTCTGGATGGGGCCAGAACAGAACAATATAAGAACTAATGAGCCAAGTACTTTCACAATGAGGGTTAACAAGCTAAGTGCTGTGACAAATTGTTTTACTTTGTCACTAATTGCCAGATCTGCTTCATGTGACCTTTATGTTACCTATCTGCCAATCTGCTAAATTGCAAAGTTCACTTCTGTAACAGGAGTCATCGTGACCTCACACTCACTTTTTGCTTCTTTTGCCAACTTTCTTTTTGCTTCTAATTGTTACCTTTCAGCCCACCTGTTTGGCCTTTTGGCAACTTTCAGACTAGAAAAACCCCAACTTCAGACCCCTCAATGCTCTCTCACTTAGAGAGAGAGCCTTAGACTTTGCTGAAACAGCCCCATGGTTAATAAAAGACTCCTTTTCAAATCTAATTTGAGTCAGTAGTCCTTATCTCGCCCCCTAAGAACAAGGATCAAAAACGAGGGTTATGCTAGTTGAAGCTCACAGGGTTGCTGGATAGATATCCTTGTAGAAGTATTTTGTGTGTAAGGTTACAGCAGCCCTTGTGCAAAGATGTAGTTTTTGCAGTCTTGCATGGCCTCTTGTTACTAAACATACATGCAAAAGAGCCCGCCGGGAATGGCCTTCCCTGCCTCCATTCATCAGGGTTATAATACCAGGGACGTCATTTTGTCTCTGCTAACTCTCATATTTGCATGTAACATATGCACATCCTCCCCAAATACTTTAAATCATGTCTACATTAACTAACAAGTACTAATACAATCTAAATGGCTATTGTTTCTCTTATTTGTATTTTTTTATTGTTGTATTATTTTTTATTTTGTTTTAATGAATATTTGCAATTCTTGGTAGGTTGAATCGCCAGATGCAAAACTGAAATATACAAAGGGCCAACTGTAAACTCTGAAAAACTGTCATAAACCAGAGGCAATCAGAGTCAGAGGCATAAACACTAAATGTTATGTGGTATACTGGGGGGCCGGGGAGTCCCGCAATAAAAAGGATATTTAGGGGAAACCTAGCAGAATCTAGATAAAGTATGGAACTTGGTTAATAATATTTTTTCAGTGTTGGTTTTTATAATAGTTGTGACAAATGTACCATAGTAGTAAGATGTTAATAGTAGGGAAAAAATGGATGAGAGGTATATAGGAATTCTCCGTACTTTATTTGCAGTTTTTAAGTAAATCAAACTATCCTAAAATTAAAAGTTTATTTTTTTAAAAGTGGGGGTGTTACGGAAATAAATGGTTTCGGATATAGAATTGTTAAAAGATACACTTTGGCACTTTAAAATTTTAACGAGCTTATTACAGCAGAGATTCATGAGTCAGGAAGTTCCAAACCAGAAGTGTGCTGGATCTACTCCTAAGGGGCTTGAGAAGAAGGATTTTATAGGGTGAATGCAAAAGAAAAGCAAAGACGTGATTTGATTGGTTAAAGTCAGAACAGTTGCCATATTTGAACTATTGCTAGGAGAATTTCAAGACACTAATGCCCAGTTAACAGCCTATGCTTGGCAGAGTTTCAATTTCATTTCATATTAAATTCTAAGTTAGGTTTTGGTTTGCCTATGTAGGGAGTCAACAGTCTTAGAGTTATCTCTGTCTATTGGCCTCCTGTTTATCATAATTCCCTTAACAGATCCATGATTCAGTGATGTCATCAAAGATCAATAGTCCCTCTAACTTTCCACATTATTCTCTGTAAGGATTTGGCTATGTACCTCTCTGTGGCTTTCCCTGTAGTCTCAAGGTAATTGCTGCAGCTCCAGGCATCACATTCTCCTATAACTGTTCTCAAGACAGCAAAGAAAAGGGGTAGAGAAAGTGGGGAGACGTTCCTTTTATGAAGGAGGAAAATAACGTGTGCTCCCATTTTCTATATAAGACTTGACAAAGATTCTCCCCTAGACCAGCAAATTCTAGCCAGATTCCCCTGAGCAAAAATATGTCCCATAAAAACTATAAACTCTCAGCACAAATGATTTCATCCACTCCTCTTCCCAAACATTAAAAGCCTAAAACACTAACATAGTTTCTAACAGCTCAAGGATACATCCCTAGGATAACCCTACCCCCACCCCCAAAGGCCCTTCATGAGAATGTTCAAGGCTGCCAAAGAACATTTCTGTTTGTTCTAGCCAATATCTGACAATGCCCTTTTTAAAGCATTTACTGAAAAGACGTTACAGTTGTGAATTCTTTCTCTGGCCTTGTGATATCTGCATGTATCTCTCCCAGTTCAGGAGTGCCTTTCTCAAGACCTAAAAGCCATTCCTATGAAATGGAATCAGCAGAAATGTTCAGGCCTCTGTCTTTCAGTTATTATAGTGGGAAGAGAGAATCCTAATTTGCCAACAGCCAGCTCAGACACACCTGGTCTGATCAGCATTTACACTGCCCAGCCCTTTTAATTTCTAATTTCCCTGACTCAACCCAGTCCTCCACTGATCTCGCTTCCTCATCTATGATTCTAACTTTAAAATGCAAAGTCAATGTTGGATGAATGAGAGTTAAAATTCCCTCAGGCCGGGCCCTCTTTGCTATTGCAATAGAACACTGCTGATTAAACTCTATCTTTACCACTTTAGTGCTGGCTTTATCTTTGACG